TGGGTTGTTCTTCCAGCCATATTTGTTTATTTATGTTACTAAACATGGTTTGTTTTCCTCTTTGATTATTTTTCCCCCCTTTACTGTCCTACCTCCCACTGTTGGTTTTCATTGTTATTTTCCATTTCTTCTTCCTGTAATGTTTTGCCGAGGATGTTTTGAAGAGATGGTTTTCTAGCTGCAAATTCTTTTAACTTTTGTTTATCGTGGAAGGTTTTAATTTCATCTTCCATCCTGAAGCTTAATTTCGCTGGATACACAATTCTTGGTTGGAACCCATTTTCTTTCAGTGTTTGAAATATGTTATTCCAGGATCTTCTGGCTTTCAGAGTCTGTGTTGAAAGATCAGCTGTTATCCTGATTGGTTTACCCCTAAATGTAATCTGCTTCCTTTCTCTTGTAGCTTTTAAAATTCTCTCCTTATTCTGTATGTTGGGCATCTTCATTATAATGTGTCTAGGTGTGGATCTCTTATGATTTTCCACATTCGGCATCCTGTAGGCTTCTAGGATTTGGGATTCTGTCTCATTCTTCAAGTCTGGGAAGTTTTCTCGTATTATTTCATTGAATAGATTGCTCATTCCTTTGGTTTGGACCTCTATACCTTCCTGTATCCCAATGACTCTTAAGTTTGGTCTCTTAATGTTATCCCATATTTCTTGGATGTTCTGCTCATGGTTTCTTAACAGTCTTGCTGAGCTGTCTATGTTCTTTTCAAGTTGAAATACTTTGTCTTCATTGTCTGATGTTCTATCTTCTAAGTGTTCTACTCTGCTGGTAGTATTCTCAATTGAGTTTTTAAGTTGGTTTATTGCTTCCTGCATTTCTAGGATTTCTGTTTGTTTGTTTTTATAACCTCTATCTCCCTGTATAGTTGATCTTTTGCTTCCTGGATTTGTTTATGTAATTCATTGTCGAAGTGATCTTTCATTGTCTGATTTTGCTGTCTAATATCTTCCTTGAGACTCCAGATCATCTGAAGCATGTATATCCTGAATTCTTTATCTGACATTCCATCTGCTGCAGCTATTACCTCTTCTAAAGTTGAGTTGACCTGCATTGCTTGTGGTCCTTTCTTTCCTTGTCTTTTCATACTGCTCGTGTTTCTTTCTGCTTGGTGAAACTCTTGTGTTTTTGAAATTTTCCCCCTATATATTTATATTGCTCTTGTATAGTTGAAAAGTCTCCCTTGCAGGGTCGGGCGGCGGCTGTGCTCCTCCTCCAATTGGGGTGATCTGTCTACCATGCTGACGGGCCGCTGGGCCTGTTTTGCCGGTCGGTTGCAGGTCTGCCTACCTTGCAGGCGCGGGCAGCGGCTCTGCTCTGCCCCTCCTCCAATTGGTGTGACATGTCTACCACGCCCGCGGACCCTTGGGCCTGTTCTGCCGGTCGGTCGCAGGTCTGCCTACGTTGCAGGCGTGGGCGGCGGCTCTGCTCTGTCCTTACTTCAATTGGGGTGACGTGTCTACCATGCCGGCGGGTTGCTGGGCTTCTTCCGGGCTCGGGAGGCGGCTCTGCTCTGCCCCTACTCCAATTGGGTGACGTGACTACCATGCCGGCGGGTCGCTGGGCCTGTTCCGGGCGTGGGCGGCGGCTCTGCTCTGCCCCTACTCCAATTGGGGTGTCATGTCTACCACGCCGGCGGGCCACTGGGCCTGTTCCCGGTGCGGGCGGCAGCTCTGCTCTGCCCCTACTCCAATTGGGGTGATGTGCTACCATGCCGGCAGGCCCTGGGCCTGTTCTGCCGGTCGGTCGCAGGTCTGCCTACGTTGCAGGCGTGGGCGGCGGCTCTGCTCTGCCCCTACTCCAATTGGGGTGTCGTGACTACCACGCCGGCAGGTCACTGGGCCTGTTCCAGGCGCGGGCGGTGGCTCTGCTCTGCCCCTACTCCAATTGGGGTGACGTGACTACCATGCCGGCGGGCCGCTGGGCCTGTTTCGGGCGTGGGCGAAGGCTCTGCTCTGCCCCTACTCCAATTGGGGTGACGTGTGTACCACGCCGGCAGGTGATCCGCCAGTCGGTCGCAGGTCTGCCTACCTTGCAGGCGCGGGCGGCGGCTCTGCTCTGCCCCTCCTACCACGCCCGCGGTCTTCTGGGCCTGTTCTGCCAGTCGGTCGCAGGTCTGCCTACCTTGCGGGCGCGGGTGGCGGCTCTGCTCTGCCCCTACTCCAATTGGGGTGACGTGACTACCATGCCGGCGGGCCGCTGGGCCTGTTCCGGGTGCGGGCGGTGGCTCTGCTCTGCCCCTCTGGCTTGATGACAAAGTGAGAGAGACTCGGGTGTTTGTGACTCACTTTCTTTACCAGGAGACCAACTGTTTCTGTCGCCGCTGATATCGATGAAGTTCTCTCCTCCGCCGCTTTCTGATGACATCAGATCTCTGCCATGTTGGTATCCCATGCGAATGGCAGCATTTCGTTCCCTTTGCCGGGTGACCAAGGCAACGGGTGAGTCCTGACCGGCCCTCACAAGCCCTGTCTCAGTCCTGTTGCCACTGCCTATGAAGGCTCAGTTGGTATTTACCTCCACAGTATTCAGCAGGACCCGGACCGAGAAGCAGTTTCCGCGGGTTCTTTAGCCCCGGGCCAGAGCAGTTCCGGGAGCCGGAATTCGGCTGCTCCGGGCTCGGTGTATGTTCTGATGGGAGCAGGCTCCAAGAAGCAGTTTCCGCGGGTTCTTTAGTACTGAGCCTGAGTAATTTGTCTGCGAGATGCAGGCGAATGGCAGCCTGAAATTACCTGTTCTGTGGCTGAATGAGCTGCGATCAGTCGAAAACAGGGATGGTGACGTCAGCTCTCCACGATGGTGGCCGCTGGCTTCCTCTGTGGTCTGGCCAGTGTGCAGAACCGAATTGGACCGCTTCCTTCCCCCGTCTCAAACCCAGAATTCAGCACTGAGCACGGTGATTGCACAGCTGGCAGAAGCCCACAGAATCCGCAGCGCTGTATCTTTGCGTTGCTATCTCGTCGTTTCCCAGCGTGCGCCGCAGACTCTAGCCGCGGGGCGATTTGCTGAATAAGCAGCGTGACCCTCCGTGCGGACAAATCTCTCGCGTTTGAGCCCCCGTAGCTGATCCTCGTGCGATGCAAATCCTTCCTCTAGATTTTGGAGCACCCCAATTTTGCTGGAAATTCCTAACAAGATAGCTTTTAGCCGTTCTAACTCGTCATTCTCCCGCACAGTGATGCGGTACACGGGGGTGATGCAGTCCCTTCGCTGCCATCTTCCCTCCCTAGTCTGAGGGATATTTCTTTTCGTCAATATTTTCATTCATAAAAGAAGTGTAAGAAATTGTGTTGTAGAATGCATGGGAAAACATAGAAAAGTATAAAGAAGAAAATTAAAACCACACATAATTAAACACCAAGAAGTACTGCATAAGAGTGAGGATTGGTTCCTGAAACCAGCATGAGGACTGAAAAGATGGGTTTGCTGAAAGAGTAGGAAAGGGGATGTTTTCCCTTCTTTTTTTTTTTATTTTAAAAAATTAGGTGTTGATAGACCTTTATTTTATTTTGTTGTTTATATGTGGTGCTGAGAATCAAGCCCAGTGCCTTGCGAGGCAAGCACTCTACCGCTGAGCTACAACTCCAGCCCTGCTTTCCCTTTTTTTGATTTCTGGTTTGCAGAGACTTTCCCCAAACCTTTGAATGGAAATACAAAGGTGAAAGAGAGCTATAGAATGCTGGTAAACTTCAGAAACGTAGAATGCAGTCTTTTTTTTAATATTTATTTTTTTTTAGTTATAGGTGGACACAATATTTTATTTTTTATGTGGTGCTGAGGATGGAACCCAGTGTCTCACGCATGCTAGGTGAGCACTCTCCTCTGAGCCCCAGCCCCAGCCCCTAGAATGCAGTCTTTCTATGTTATCTTCACTCTGCACATATGTTGATCTTTCCCTGATGTTTTTCTAGAACATAGTTTAAACTGCTCCTTTGTATCCCACCTTGTGAATAGAGAGATCATCACTGATTAAAATACCCCCGCCCCGTGTACTTCTAGTTGGTTGTTTTTTGCTATTATAAATAGACTGTAGTCAGTATCCTTACACATAAAGTTTGTATGGATCTCTATTATCTCCTTGAGATACTTTGGAGTAAAGACCACTTGATCAAAGGGTCTATGTACTTTTTCATGCTCCTGATACTTTTGCTGGATTGTGTTCTGAAAATATTCCATGAGCTTATTCCCCAAGGAGAGATGCTTGAGAAGGAGCAGACCCGGGGACCAGGGGGTGGACTCACAGGAAGTCGACCTGGGGAAAGGGACTGGGCCAAGCCTCAGGGACGGGCTAACAAGACAGGGAAGGGGAGGACTCTTGGGAAAGAACCCCAAGGATACGAGCCAGAACCAGCAGATGAGCTGAGGGCAACACTGGCTCTGGAGGAGCAGGTTAAAGACAGCAGCAGAGAAGTGCCACTGGGCTCTGTGGGCCCTACGACATTTTTTCTAAGGCTGCTGGGTATTCTATCACACATGGGGAAACCGAGGCACAGCACTGATGAGAAATGGCAGGACACAGATCCAGAGTGACATCTTCCATTCCAAATCCCGTGATGCTGCACTCAAGGTTTTCTGTACCCTTCAGGAAAGAGCTGGCCTGATGTCACCCCTTTGGGCAGTTTGTGATGACGCAGGGCGCCCTTTCTAACCCAAGTGAATGAAGGAGCCATGACCATGAAGGGGACAATCTCTCCAAAATAAATGGATCATTCAAGCCCCAAGGCCACTATCCTGTGATATGTACTGTTCCTAAGCATAACAGGGAGTTTTAGGAGGCTCTTCTTAAAAGGATCCCTTGGCTCTCGGTCCAGATCCATAAATTGCAAGTGATTGTGAGGAGTTGCACCTGAGTGAGGCCTGACAATTATGCAGCAGGTCACAGCAAGCCGAGCCCACTGGGACCTGACACGGCACCGTGCTGCTCCACCAGGGTGCCTGCCCAAAGCCTGCATGATTTCAACACTAGCCGCTTTCCCCAGACTCGCCTTGGTAACATGGCCAGCAGAAAGTGGTGCTTGGTCCTAGGACTCCTTGCATTTTTATGGGCTGGATTGGCCTCTGAAGGCTCAGAAAAGCAAGAGGAAGAGACCTGCAGGTTGCTGGGCAGGTTTGATTTGAACGGATCCGTAGATGCCCAGAATCATTCACTTGTTATTGGAGGACTGTTTCCCATCCACGCTAGGACCATCCCACCAAACGAATCTATTTTGGAGCCAGTATCTGCCAAATGTGAAGGGTAAGCTGTTCTTTCAGGCCTCTTTTTACATCTGCTACAGGTGGTGGGGGGAGGGCAGGCCTGGGGTGAGTCTGGATCTGCAGCCAGGACTCTCGTTCTGACGTTCTCTGACTCAAGAGAGATACTTCACCCTTCTCAGCCTGTTTCTCCAACGTGGGCATTCTGGGATTGTTTAGAACCTGGAAAAGCTCAGTGTTGAGGGTCTTTTCCCACTTGGTTAGAACCAAGGTAGATTTTGTATGATATGGAACACTGCACCCAGAGGGTGGTCTGTGGGCCTGCAGTGTCAGCTTCCCCGAGAGCCTGTCAGAAATGTAACCAGGTGGTGCATCTAAGGCCTGCTGGATCCGAGTCGGGTTTGGGCAAGACCTCCTGTTGATTGACATGCACATTAAGATTTGAGAAGCACCGATGTGAAGTCTCGCAATGTCAGGCTTCATTTTTAATTGCTATAGACTAAAACTCTCCTTACGTGAAATGTGCAGTGCAGAATACTGAATTATTTCTGAGCTAATGCTCATGGAGAGCTGGAAGGCTCCTCCCCTACTCACCTTTGTCCTGTCAGGAACCGGGATCCATGTCTAATCATCTTAACTGGCTAGTGGTCCACGCGAGGGAAGCTAAGAGGGGCCTCACACACGCCTGCAACCACATACGTGCACACACACTTCACAGATGCACAGAGGAATGAGTACCCACTATTCCACTGCCATAGCAAGGCAGCTCCTTTTGTCTTTCTATATTCTTTCTTGGTGCATTTTCAAATGCATCTATAGTTCTTAAATGGTTGTGACATAGCACAGACGCAGTTCTATTTTGGACACTTGGTGTTGTAGAAGGAGTGTTTCCATGATGCTGTAGGGTAGCTGGGATCGTGAGTGCATGTTGTAAGAATGTTAGCCACCTCTTACACCATGAAACCTTTACGGACTGCAACTCCTTCCCTTTGGTCATCTGTCATGCTGCGTATCTGAGATGTTATCAGAGGGCAGGAAGGGCTGTCCTGTTGTGGGCAAGAGGAAAGGATTGCAATCAGTCCTGCTTATCTCTTTCTAGACTGAACTGTTTTCCATTCCTGCAGTGACGCAGTGGAAGGCAGAGGAGAGAGGCTTTTCCTTACTGCTACGTTAATAGAGTCAGTTCATTATTCATCACACTCGTTTTCACTTCTTCTATCCTTACTGACAAAATGTAAGAGTTTGTCATATGTAGGGCACTAATACTTCATGGATGGAGTCACTCTATTCTGCACTCTTCATTGGAACTTTGGAAGGTGATTTTCCAAGCAAGCCTAGATGGAAAAGCCAGTGCACCTATTTTTAAATACAAATTCATCGGCCCCTTAAAAATATTTTGGCATATCCACTGTGGTTGGAATAGTGGTGAGAAGTAAGTACATTCCATTTTAAAATAATTCCTTCATCAGGGTTATTCTAGGATTTGCTTCATCAGTGCGATCAGGACTTGAGTGGTTATTGCTGGGCCTTACAAGTATTAGAAACATTTCAGAATCAGAGCTTCATGATCCACTTTCACCATAACAGCCACAGTGCTTGCTGTCAGTAGGGGGCTCAGCATTCTCCAGGCTTCTTGGGATTCCTCTGTGCAGGGCAACTTTTCCTGTGCTGGGGGAGGCCTCGTGGGAGGCCTAGTCTGTGTGGCACTCGAAAGCCAGGCTGGGCCAGGCTGGGGATAATCTCATTAGGGCAGTGTTAACCTTTACCCATAACTGATTCAAAAATTCACTTTGGGGTTTGGAGAAATCTCATTATAGAATTGAGCTTTGGTTGGCCGTCAGCTAGGTATGTGGGAGAGGAAGACTTTAAAAACGTTGCTCAGAGCAGAGGAAGACAAGGGCATGGAAGAAGGAGGGAAGTGTTGGAATTCCTTGTGGTTGACCTCCATGAGGGCAGGATTCAGAGGGCTTTTCTGTGGTGGGGGGCAATAAAGGTATAGATTATATACTAATACTGTGAATATCATAATAGAAATCAATGAGAAAATATCTCAAATACAACCCTTCCCGCAATTATTCTGGTCTCATTAAAAAAAAAAAAAATCTCTGTGAATCCTTATCCAAATGTTCATATACTTCATGTGTAGCTTTAATTATAGAAGCAATTTTGCATATGCCTGTTTAACTTAACACTATATTCACCCTGCAATGTGAGTTCCTTAACTAGAGGGTTTTTTTTTTTTTTTTTTTTGTATGTTTGTTTTGTGGTGCTGAGATTGAACCTGGGCCTTCATGTGCTAGGCCAGGGCTCTATTACTGAGCTACATCCCCAGCCTAATTATAGTTTTGTTACTGGGAAATGTTCACACAGTTGGTGTCCTGCTGCTCCAGTTCTCCAGTGTTATCAACATTGCCATGGCGGTCATTCAGGGGAGACAGCATTTTCCCTTGGGAAGGGCTGTGTCTTCAAACATCTTCTCAGGGATGGAATTGCTAGTTCAAAGCAGGTGAATGTTGTTCTAGCTCTTGAAGTGTATCGTATTATTTTAAGGAAGACATGGCTATATTTATTTATTTTTCTTTTTATTTCTATATGACAGTGGAATGCATTACAATTCTTATTACACATATAGAGCACATTTTTTCATATCTCTGATTGTTCACAAAGTATATTCACACTAATTTGTGTCTTCATACCTGTACTTTGGATAATAATGATCATCACATTCCACCATCATTAATAACCCCATGCCCCCTCCCTTCCCCTCTCACCCCTCTTTTCTATCTAGAATTCATCTATTCCTCCCATGCTCCCGCTCCCTATCCCACTATGAATCAACCTCCTTATATCAAAGAAAATATTCAGCATTTGGTTTTTTTGAATTGGCTAACTTCACTTAGCATTATCTTCTCTAACTCCCTCTATTTACCTTCAAATGCCATGATTTTATTCTCTTTTATTGCTGAGTAATATTCCATTGTGTATATATACCACATTTTTTTTTATCCATTCATCTACTGAAGGGCATCTAGGTTGGCTCCACAGTTTGGCTATTGTGAATTGTGCTGCTATAAACACTGATGTGGCTGTGTCCGTGTAGTATGCTGTTTTTAAGTCCTTTGGGTATAGACCGAGGAGAGGGATAGCTGGGTCAAGTGGTGGTTCCATTCCCAATTTTCCAAGAAACCTCCATACTGCTTTCCATATTGGCTGCACCAACTTGCAGTCCCACCAGCAGTGTAGGAGTGTACCTTTCCCCCCACATCCTCACCAACACTTATTGTTGTTTGTCTTCATAATAGCTGTAGAAATTTATTTAGTGGCCCAGGTAAATTTGGAAAGTAGCCTCCTGGATGATGAACCCTCAGTGCTCTGGTTGCTCCCTCTAGCTTCCTCCCCTGTTCCTGCCCTGACCACTCCTGGCTCCCTCCTTCACCCACACCCACCACTCTTCCCATCCCTCCAGTGTTGCATATCCTCTGGTCCCGGCGCCTCAGGTCCCTTCTGCCTGCAGGGTCCATCCCCTATCCACAGGTTACCCTTGAAGTCCAGCATGGCTGGGGACCCCTCCAGGCGGGGCATTGCGCCCACCCCCATCTCCTGGCTTACCATTTTGAGCTACGATTGCTTGGCTCTTTTTTTTTTTTTTTTGCGATTACTGTTTCTTTACCTAAATTGCACTTTGTCCATTCTGTTCACTGTCATGTCTAGAGGGTCTAGAGCCAATAACTGGATGGTCAGTGAAAAAGGAAACAAGGCTAAAAACCCAAATAAAGAGAAACATTCCAATCTGCCAACAAGGCAATTTGCTATCAGGTATTTAATTCAAAACTATTTTTTTTTTTTTGAGCAGGGGACAGAGGGTTAAATACTATAGCTATCAAAGATATTACGAGAAAGAGTCATCTTGGGGACTTGCTTTCTAACAGGTTAGATCTCAGAATTTGGTTAGAACTCAGAAAAAAGAAAGGGGAATAGAATATATATTCCCCTTTCTTTTTTCTGAGAAGCAATGAAGAAAAATGGGGTAATAAACTGCAAAAGAAATATTCCCCTTTTAATGTGTGGAAATGGAAGGAGTGTGTCTTGTCTGTGGTGGTGAGCATAGCAAGAAGATGTATTTAATTAAACATCACTCAACATTAGTAATCAAGGCATGGCAGGAAAACTATATGATAGAAGTACATAAAAGCAGGACAAAATATTTTATATTAGTATATCATATATAACATAATTTTAGTAAATTTTATAATTTAAAATTATATCTACAATATATGCTTTATTATATGTTGTATACTACAATATATGCTTTATTATATATTATGTAGTTATACAATGTATTATATAACTTATAATAAATCAATTTATAAATTTTATAATTTTAGAAATTGCACAGCATATGTTATACACTAATATATTCTTTTATGTATTCCTATCACAAGTACCTTCATATATTTATGTACTTTTTATAATGTTGATAAATGTCAGAAGAAAATAAGATGAGATAAGGAGGAGGAAATGAGAATCATACAGCACCAGGGCTGCCAGTAAGAGGGACACACATGTGTCAGGGGTCATGGGTACTTGGTTTGGTGAAGAGAATTGTGAACTTAATCATATTTTTATGAACAGAGACAACTGGCAGTTTGAAAAATTTCCAGCATATAAAAGATATATAGGGCAAGAAAATAGCCCAAAGTCACTTCCCAGCCTAAACAGTCAACCATGAATGCAATTTGTATGTGAATCTTTCAAGTTTATAACCATCTGAGAGACACTGACTTTGCTCAGGCAATGGAGACCCTACTGACTTTGGGCAAAATACCATTATCACCTACTAAACTAAAAGCACCTTTTTCCTCCAAAGATCCCCAACAGACCCATGCCTTACAAAGCCTCTTTCCTTTCCAGGTTCAACTTTCGGGGATTCCGCTGGATGAAAACCATGATCCACACGATCAAGGAGATTAACCAGAGGAAGGATATTTTGCCCAACATCACTCTGGGCTATCAGATCTTTGACTCCTGTTCCACCATCTCTAAGACAATGGAGTCGGCCATGGTGTTCCTCACAGGGCAGGAAGAGAACAAGCCCAACATCAGGAACAGCACTGGGGCGTATTTGGCAGGAATTGTTGGATCAGGGGGGTCATCCTTATCGATCGCTGCTTCAAGAATACTAGGGTTGTATTTCTTACCTCAGGTATTCAGAATATGGTGCTGAGTATTTCAAATAAGTAGAAATGGAGTGTGTGGAAACTGCAGCCCATGACAAGGGGCCTGGGGGCGGCTGGGCCAAGCTGCAGAGCCACTACTGGCCCTCTGTTAGCCAGCGAGTGAGGATAGCTACTTAGAGGTGACCTGACATCTCACCAGGCACAATGCTCTGTGGAATTTCATAGTTGAGCAATTAATGCTGGCCGGTTGATTGTTGGATGCCATAAGATACTTATAATATAGGCATAGTATAATATATATAATATACTTATAATAATAATAGCTTATTATTCATGACCCTGTTCATACACCGACATACTGAAATGGGCCTGGGAATTACACAAGATGAGTAGAGTTTTGGCATGCTGGCTTTACAGATTATTTTAAATTCAGAGAGAGTGACACCTTTCAACATAAGAATAGATGACATTAGGAAGGAAGAATGGATTACTAAGAAAATACAAATAGAGCTCTATAATTATTTCTAAGGATGGCTCATTAAAGTATTAATAGTGGGACTTATTAATGTGAATGCTGAGTAAGCATATTTGTGTCCCTGAACTAATGAGAGAATTGGAGATAATTGTAAAAAGAATCATTTATACAGTGTCTCTTATACAGCTGAAAATACAAGTTTAGGGGGAAAGAAAAATACTGAGGAGCAGAACGATTAGGACTGGTCAGGTGGCTCAGCCAGTAAAATCTCAGCTGCCAGGAGCTGCCTGTCCATCCAACACCAGCTGCAGGCCAAACACAGACCAGAGACCTCTACATGAAATTTTTCCCTTAATGTCTTGGAGTAAATCTGGAAAGAACTGAAAAGAAACCTGTTCACATTTGTTCTCATTCACTAATTTTTTTTGTATTGGAGATTGAACCCAGGGGTGCTTAATCATGGAGCCACATCCCCAGCCCTTTTAATATTTTGTCTTGAGATAGAGACTCACTGAGTTGCTTAGGGCAACACAAATTGCTGAGGCTGGCTTTGAACTCTTGATCCTCCTGCCTCAGCCCCCTGCCCAAGCACTGGGATTACAGTCATGCACCACTGCATGGGGCCTTATGCACTAAATTGAACAACATAAAATCTAGATTATCATCATCTGAATTTCACTCATGGAGAAACGAAGACACAGAAGATTTAGGTTACTCAAATCTAAGTCTACCATCTCACACTTATAAATTCCAAGGTCAGAACTGGGAATCAGGTGTCTTCGCTTCTTAAATGAGGTTCTTTCCTACGTTTGGCTTCTGTGCTGCTGCCTGTGTGATTCTACAGGAAAATGTGGACTTCAGCCCGTGGAGCAGGAACACGGCAGAGGTGGAGCAGATGAACGTAGCAGCGGTCTGGCCCTTGTGGGGAATCCATAGGGTGGAGGTCTGAGATGAGAAGCAGACGACCCTACTGGTGTGATGGGTTTGTCACATGAAGCAGGATAAGGGAGAATGTGACCTCAGCTCTTAATGGCAGAGTCAGAGAGGTCAAGGGTCAGCTCCTGCAGAAATGCACAGCTCAGGCCTGGCCACCTGGCCTCCATTCCTGAGGGCCACCGATAGGAAACACATGTGAGGATCTCAGGCCAGAGGAGGAAGGAAGTCTGTGTGCATACAGAACAAGGATGGAGGGGTAGCCTCGAGCTGAGACTAAAGTGGCACTTTTTACCACCTTTCTCAAGATGAGTCTTAGGACCACATACTCACAAGTCTCAGCAGAAGGGACAAGGAAAGAGAAGAAGACATAAAGAAGGAAAATATAGTGGGGTTTGGTGGTGAAGTAGGTCTGCCGAATGGATTGAGCCTGCTCCCTCCTCGTGTGAGTGAGAAGTGCAGTCTGACAAGGAGCCCAGCTGTCCTGACTCAGGGGAGCATAGAAGGGCAGGTGACCTCCCTTTTAGTGCCATGACCCCACCTGTGGAGAGCAGTTGCTGAACGTCATCATCTTAAAAATTGGCCCCTCTAGCATCATGGGGTGGGCTAGGAGAAGGGTTGGTAGGGAGGACCAAGTGTTCCCTTCAGCAGTCCCCGTACTGAGCAGGGAGAGGAGGGATGTGAGGATAAAGGGAGGAGAGCTGCTGAGACCCTTCCCTTTCCATAAATATGTGCTGAAAACTTGTGACTGGAGATTTAGCTACTCTTTTCTAATCACTGCATGGATCTTTTCAATTGCAGGTGGGCTACGCCTCTTCCTGCTCCATCCTCAGTGACAAATTCCAGTTCCCAACTTACGTTCGCACAGTAGCCAGTGATAAGTTCCAGTCCATGGCCATGGTAAAGCTTATCCAGCACTTTGGTTGGGTCTGGGTGGGCACCATAGCAAGCGATGATGATTATGGAAAATACGGAGTAAAAATTTTTAAGGAACACATGGAGAATGCCAACCTCTGTGTGGCATTCTCTGAAACCATCCCCAAAGTCTATTCCAATGAAAAAATGCAAAGAGCCGTGCAGGCTGTAAAGAACTCCACGGCCAGAGTGGTCGTGCTTTACGCTTCTGACCTTGACCTCCATCCCTTCATGCTGGAGATGGTTCACCACAACATCACCCACCGCACGTGGATAGCAACTGAAGCGTGGATCACCTCAGCCCTCCTTGCCAAGCCCGAATACTTCCCATACTTCGGTGGAAGCATTGGATTTGCAATTCCAAGGTCTGATATACCAGGATTAAAAGAGTTTCTTTACGACATACACCCCAGCAGGGATCCAGATGATGTCCTGACCATTGAGTTCTGGCAGACCGCTTTTAACTGTACTTGGCCTAATAGCAGCGTTCCATACAATGTCGACCACAGGGTGAACATGACCGGTAAAGAGGACAGACTGCACAGCATGTCTGATAAGCTCTGTACTGGACAGGAGAAGCTGGAAGACCTTAAAAACACCTACCTGGATGTGTCTCAGCTGAGGATCACCAACAATGTCAAACAGGCTGTCTACACCCTGGCACATGCCCTGGATCACCTGAGCAGGTGTGAGGAGGGGCAGGGGCCGTTCATTCCAGGAAACACTTGTGCGTACATACCTGACTTTGATCCTTGGCAGGTAAGCTGTGCCTTCACTTCATGAGATAACTGGACAATTATAAGAATTCATGCTCTCAGCACTCTCAATAGATGTGATTTTACATCCTCAACTAAAACAATGGCTTGCTGGTGTCCTGAATGTACCTTTTTAAGTTCCCATCTGTTAACATAGTTACTAGTTTTGTGAAAGATTGAAACACCTCCTCCCCAAACAGTGCCTTAAACAAGATAGGGTTTCTTCTTCGCATGGATGAAATTTCAAGGTCAGTGTTCTAGGACTGAGAGAGGGGCTAGGGGACCTGCTTTCCTCTGGTGTGTTGCTCCAGTCACGGCCCAGGGCTTTGCCCCGTGGTCCACCATGGCTGCTTGGGCTTCCAAATCACGCCCATGTTTCAGGCAGCAGGAAGGAGAAACAGCAGACACGCGTGCTCCTCCATCGAGGATTCTCCCTGGAAACCCCACACAACCCTCTTGACATCCCAGGAGCCAGATGGCCACATCCAGCCTCAGGGGAACTGGAGATGTGGTCCTCAAAGGGTGTGGGAGGACATGGCCTGCCTGCTAGGATCTGCCCTTCCTGCCCCTGGCCGATGTTGCACAACTCCTGTTGGGACAGAGCTATTGAGTGGTGTCACCAGGACATACGTGCCCCAGGGGCTTCCCTGCCTTTCTTCTTCAGTGTCTCCCCTCTTTCCCTGAAATGATCGGGCAAGATATCCCTGGGCTGGCAGGGTCAGCCTGGGATGCAGGCCCTGTGGGCACCTGTGGCTCTCTTGTCACCCCTTCCTTCCTTGACCCTCACCTCCTGTAGCCCTAAATTGTCATCTAATAGAATCTACAGTGGCCAGGACAACTGCACCCTCCTTTTTGCTTTTATTTGCAAATTATTTGTTTCTGTGTCCAGGAACCGGCCCATATTTTTAAGAATGTTTTTCATTTGTCTCGTTTTCCCTCACCATTAGGTCAAGGCCCGTGCCTCCCACAGGAGGTTTCTGATGTGATTGTCTCTTGCTATCAGGGACGTTAACTTTGGCCACTTGGTTACAGCAACGTCACTGTGTTTTTCTACTGTGAAGTCACCATGTTTCCCTTTAACAATTCTTTTTGTGGGGCAATATTCTGAGGCTCTGAAAGTGGCCTGTTTCCCTCACACCTTTGCCTACACATCTTAACTTCCATTGACGATTCCTCTTAATCACGCAGTGTTGTTTGGAAAATGATGATTTTTCTATTTCCCTCATTCCATCTGTATTTTTTAGCTGGGATTCTGCTCCTCCCTCACAGACCTGTTTTATCAATATGGACTCAGGGATATATTTTTTTAAAGTCTATGAGTAAAAATCCATAATTGTCATTATTTATTTTGTTGCTCTACATTTCCTAGCTTTGACCTTGGGAGCCACTCTGAGTTGGCTCTTGTTTCCTTTGGACATGTCCCGGTCATTTCCTTACTTTCTGGACCCCCAAGATGTCCCATGCTCATCTAGTGTCCACCCAGCTTTGTGGTCAGCCACTTCTGAGTCCTGTTTCCATTAACTGAAGAATGTACCTGAGTGCACTCAGGACCTGAGTGCGAGGTGTGCTCATTGTTACTAAAGAAGTCGTGATCAGTGCAAAGAGAGAAATGAAGTCATGCCAAAGGGGACTCTCTTCATATTAACAGAGGTCCTCTGGGTACGCCTTCTATCATAAAGAGAACCCTTTTGTATGGCGAGTAAACTTCTAATTTTTTATTTGAACATTTTAATATTAAATTTAACTTTGCTCAAAGCGCAAAGTTTTTGGAAGCATTGCAAAGAAAAGAGTCTCTGGCGAGGCTCCAGGGAACACAGGGTGTCAGGGTGAAAGTTGGTGGGTGAGTCTGTTAGGTGTCCATGTTCCTTGATCTAATCCCATGTCAGCTGTAGAGTGTTAATACAGACATTTACTCAACTTCCTAGAGGTATCAGGATACAACTTTATATTTGTTTAAAACCCAGATAACTATGCACTCTGTGCTTCTTCTCCTTAGTTCACCCCATTAGACGACTTGGTCTGAAGTATATATTTGGAAGGCATTTTTAGTCTTGTGTTTGGACATTTCTAAATTCTCTCCCTGGGGTGGTGTTAGGGAGCTGTGTCCTACCATTTAAGGACAACAGACAGAGGGACGTGTGGACGGGTCTCCCTAGGGAGAGTGCCTTGGAGCATCTCCTTGTTGGACTCTGGTGAAGATGAGGAACGAAGGAACAGAGTCCCTCCCCACTGACCTGACAGAGTCGCCTGCTGGGAACTCCCATGTGGATTGCATGTGGATTGCGAAGGGTTGCAAGAAACAAGGGAGACACGAGGCCACGTGACCTGGTGTGGTCTTCGTGGTGGGCGGTGACTGCAAGACTGGCCTTGGGGTACTTGCTGAGGAAGGGCTGTCAGGTGTGTGACCCTGACCCCCAGACAGAGGCAGTGGGGACCTTTGTCCTCTTCCCACAGACAGGAACCTGGTGCTTGCTTAGTGCATGCCTTACCCGAGGTCATGAGACATGAAAAAGCCAAGGGACTCCAGATGGCCAGACACTGACCGCCAGGCCTAGTTTGTGCCGTTCCTGGTGTGTGGGCTGGTGGCTGGACTTGGTGGACTTTACCAAGACCCGATGTCTCCCTGTGCAGACTGGTCACCTCGGCATAGAGAATGCACGCTCCTCTCTCCCTAGGGCTGGCTGGGAGAGGCAGGCTTGAAACAGGAGCGATTTTCTCAGAGGGTTCCTGTAGATCTTTCTGTGGGGGCAGAAAATGTCCCACCCTCTGTCCTGCCCTTGGCCTGGCTCTTCTGTGCATCCTCGTCCCTGGAGCCCTGCAGGACTTCAGGATGTACAGACATGTTATTGCTTTGGCTTAGACTCTCCTTGTTCCAAGTAATTACCAGGCTCATTCCTATTCATCTTTTTAAATCCAGCTCAGGTGGCCACTTTGGGGAGGTGAAAAGTTCCTGTTTCTGCTAAGACAATTGTTGGCCAATCTCTTGTCCCTGCCTTTCCCAGAAGCAATGTAGACCACCTGAGTGCCACCGTTGAGATGGTCTAGTCTTACCACTAGGCCGTCAGCTCTGCAAGGGCAGGGAAGAAGTCTTTGTGACCTTGTGTCTCCAGCACCAATACCTCGGGCAAGGAGGGGTGGAGGTGGGAGTGTAGCCTGCTGGTATCTATAAGTTAAAATAGTCTCCCTTCCCTTGATGTGGAGGCATTAGGAGCTATTTGACTCCACTATGCCTTAGTAGAAACCAATGTCATCCCCCCAAAAAAAATGCAATTAGAATTTTCTAGTGACCAAATTTAAAAAACAACAACAAAGAAAAATAATTGAATTTAATAATCCATGTAGCCCTGGGAGGGAGGTAGGGGAGTGGCATGAGGATAGGAAAGATGGTGGAATGATATGGACATCATTTTCCTAGGTACATGGATGATTGCACCATGGTGTGACTCTACATCATGTACAACCAGAGAAATGAAAAGTTGTGCTCCATTTGTGTACAATGAATCGAAATGCATTCTGCTGTCATGTATAACTAATTAGAACAAACAAAAAAATTCAGTATCTCCAAACTAATGTTACCATTCTATCATAATTATAATTATAATTTTGATATTATATTATCATAATTTGATAATATAATATCAAAATTGTAATGTGAAGTTAAGAACAATATAGTTCACATTCTTCTTTAAAAACTTAGTTTTTGTCATCTAATGTACATTTTATACTTATAACGTATCTTAATTTGGCCAACTACCTTTCAAGTTGGATTTGTTAGACGTGGCTAAAAGTGATTGATGGATCGTACAGTGAAAATATAGAAGAGGAAAAAATATCATTCCATGAGTTAGGTGGGAGACTGAAATTGTTTTCCTTCTGAAGCTCTGATTTCCAGACAATTAAATTTTTACAAATTGCTTTTCCCCCTATTGTCCCCACCCCCCCGCAGTTAATGTTCTATGTGAAGACGGTTCAGTTTACAACCCATGATGGAAAGACAATACAGATTGATAAGAATGGGGACGTGATGGGACACTATGACATTCTAAATTGGCAATTAGATGATAATGGAGAAATTGCCTTCATGAAGGTTGGAGAATATATATTTACAGAAAATAAGTTTGAACTTGTTTTCACAAAGAATTCGACAATATTTTGGAACACTGAGTCATCACAGGTTAGTTGCTCTGACTTTCTATTTTGTTTGCATAGAAAATTGCATTTCTATATTAGTTTAGGCACTAATGCAGTAAAAAGAAGTCATTTTCTTCAAATTTAAATTTAATTTTACCAAGTACAGTATACCTTGACTCTATGTAGATTCAGATATTTTTATTTTTTGAATATTTTCTCGGAGTGCAGTTTTTTAAAAATATTTTATTAATTGTCAGTGGATCTTTGTTTACATGCGGTGCTGAGAATCAAACCCAGGGCCTCACATATGCTAGGCAAGTGCTCTGCCATAAGCCCCAGCCCCAGCCTGGATTGCAGTTTTGAATATCAGTTTTACCATTCTGTTTTCTTCTTCCAGGACTCCAGTTGTACTTATGTTTGGCCTCCTTTATCTTCCACTTCATATACTTTCTCACCCACTAGTTCCGCCCTTTTCTTTATCTCATTCTCTTTGTTATTTTCTTGCCTTTATTCAATGATTCTCCATTCAATTTCCATGGAACTATGTTCTTTCTTGAACCCCTTTGTTGTGGCATGGAACTGGAGCGTCCCTCATATGTTGAAGGCTTGGTCCTCAGGGTGTGATTGGATTATGAGAGCTCTGACTGCATCAGTGGATCAATACATTTGGGGGTGGAAATTGTCAGCAGGGGGAAGTAGGTCACAGAGGCCAGCCCTGGGGCCTTGGCCCCTTTCCTGCCTCTAGCTGCCATGAGCTGAGCAATGGTGTTCCCCTCACCTCCGGCCTAAAGCAATGGTGTCAAATGACCATGAACTGGAACCTCGGAAACCATGGGCCAAAATAAGTCTTTCCTCCTTCAAGTTGTTTTCTTGGGTATTTTTCATAGCAACAAAAAGCTGAACAACACACCCTCGTTATTTCTATATTAGTTTCTCAAGTGTTTTGGACTTTTTTCTTAAGTTTATTTTCTGAGTAAAGTGATTTTTTTTTCATTTCTTCCAAATTCATATTTTTTAAGTTCTTATTATTCTTAAATTTATTAATTTATTTTTTGAATTTTAAAATTTCTTGTTTTGAAATTTAAAATTTACTTTTAACTGACACAAAATATAAAACCTTTGAGATTTATGGAATAATATGTAATATTTCAATACCTGTATTTATTGTGTAATATTTATGTCAGGTTAAACATATCTCTCTGTCTCCTCGTTTTTTATTTCCTAATGGTGAAAACATTAAAAATCCCTCCTTTTTTTGGTACTGGGAATTGAACCCATGGCCTTGTGCATGCAAGGCAAGCAGTCTACCAATCAAACTATATCCCCAGCCCCCCAAATCCCTTCTTTTATCTCTTTGAAATATCAGCACATGATTGTTATCTGTAGTCAACAATAGTGAACCAGAACTTCTTCATCCTAACTGTAACTTAATGCCCATTGACCAACCTTTCACCATCTCTCCCTGGTCTCTGGTAATCACCAAAGTTTCTATGGATCAACTTTTTAACTCCTACATATGGAAACAGTGGCACTTGCCTCTCTGTGCCTGGCTTTGTTTTGCTTACCATCATGACCTCAAGTTCCATCTATGTTGTCACAAATTCCATTTTTTTATGGCTGAATAGTATTCCATTGTGCATATATGCACAACATTTGCATCATTCACTCAGATGATGGACACTTAGATTGTTTCTGTTTCTTGGCTATTGTGGATAGTGCTGCAAGAAACATAGGTGTGAAGATACCTCTTCAACATACTGACTTCATTTCCTTTGGATACATGCCACCAGGAGTAAAATTGATGGATCATATGATAGTTCTATTTGTTAATTTTTGAGGGACCTCAGTATTTTCCATAATGACTGCTATAATGTCCCTTCCCATCACCAGCAGGCAAAGGTGCCTTTTTCTTCACATGCTCACTAGCACTGCCTTTTGTCCTTTTATAATAGCCATTCTTATTGGAGTGAGGTGATAACTTATTGTGGTTTTGATTGGCATTTTCTTGATGACTAGTGATTTTGAACATTTTTTCACATACCTTTTGTCTATTTGTATGCCTTCTTTTGAGAAATATTTTATTTAGGCCTATAGCCCATTTTTAAATTGGGTTATTTGGTTTTTTCTATGCAGTTTTTGGAGCACCTTCTATATGCTGTTTATAGACCTTTAGCATATGTATAATTTGCAAGTATTTTCTCCCATTCTGTAGGTTGTCTCTTCACTCTGTTGATTGTTTCCCTTACTCTACAAAGTTAGTTTTTTTTTAAGTAAAAAAACCTTAAATATGATGTAGGTCCATTTGTATATTTTGGCTTTTGTTTCTTGTGCTTTTCAGCTCTTGTCCAAAAAAATTGCCCCTTCCAAAGTCTTCAAGCATTTCTTTGTTTTCTTCTAGTAGTTTTTTAAATGCTTTACATTTAAGTCTTTAATCCATTTGAGTTGGTTTTTGTAACTGATGAAGATAAGGATATGCTTTCATTTTTCTGCATGTGGATATTTATGTTCCCAGTACCATTTATTGAAAAGACTTCCCTCTCTCCAATGTGTGTTCTTAGCATCTTTGTTGAAAATCAGGTGGCTATAGATGCCTGGATTTGCTGTCAGGCTCTCCATTCTGTTCCCTTGGTCTATAGTCTGTTTTTATGACAATATACCATGCTGGTTTGATTCCTATATTTTTTATAAGATTTTGAAGTTTGGTAGTATAAAGCCTCTGCTTTGTTCTTTTTTTTGTTAGAGATTGCTTTGGATACACACACACACACACACACACACACACATACACACACACTGGTTCCACATGAATTTTAGGACTGTTTTTTCTAGACCTGTGAAGAACATCATTTTATTTTAGGTCACTTTAGATAGTATGGGCATTTTAACAATATTGATTCTTCCAATTCACAATCACAGGGTATCTTTCCATTTTTCATTTCTCTTTGATTTCTTTCATAGATGTTTTATTGCTTTCTTTATAAAGATCCATCACCTTTTTGGTTAAATTTATCTTCAGGCACTTTACTTTTTTAGCAGTTATTGTAAATGGATTGCCTTCTTGATGTCTATTTCAGATCATTGACTCTCAGCATACAGCAGTACTACTGATTGTTGAACATTGACTTTATATCCTTCTACTTTGCTCAATTTATTTACAACTATTAATTCTAATAGTTTTTGGTGGAATCTTTGGGGTTTTCTATATATAAGATTTGTCGTCTGCAAGCAGTGACAATCTGACTTCCTCTTTTCTAATTCCGATGCCTGTATTTTCTTACCTGATTGCTCTGGCTAGAACTTCAACAGAAGTGGTAAAAGTGGGCATCCTTGTAAGGTTCCAGATCTAGATAGCTTTCAGATCTTCCCTGCTCAGTAGGACAGTAGCTGTTGACTTATTATTATGTGTGGCCTTTGCTCTGTTAAGGAGCACTCCTTCTATACCTTATGTGCTCAGAATTTTTATCATGAAAAGGTTCTAGATTTTATCCAAGGTCCTTCCTGCATCTTGGAGATGATTATAAGGGTTTTGTCCTCCTTCAGTAGATGTGCCTGTCATGTTTGTTCATTTGCATATGTCAAACCATCCTTGCATCCCTGGGATGAATCCCATTTGACAATGTGCTGTGGAATCCAGTTGATTTGTATTTTTTGAGGTTTTCTGCAGGTATGTTCATCAAGGATATTGGCCTGTAACTTTCCTTCTTTGTTGTGTCCTCGCCAGGTTTTTATCAAGGTAATGTTGGCGTTGTAGAATGAGTTTGGGAATATTCCCTGCTCTTCTTTCCAAAAAAATTTTTGGAAAATTTTTTTTAATTGATATTAGTTCTTCTTCGAATTCCCATTCCATTGCAACAGTGGGGCGGTTGGTATGCAGAACTGCAGCTCTGATATCTCACAAGAGAAGAGGTTGGTAAGCTGGAGACTGGTCTCTGGCCTACAACATCAAGATGAAGCCTAGGAAGTATTGGTGACAGTTAAGCAGAAACCCTGTCACTTACCAGAAGTTAAGAAGAAACTGTTACTTACAGACAGTGGACTTTTTTGATCTTTAAGGAAGTATTATTCCAGGGAAAGTAGAACTATTGAGCTTCTGTTAATCTATTTTAGTGTCTGCTCCTGGGTGACCTGGCCGTTCCTCAGTTCGGCTCTTGTGAGTCGTGGGTAAGCATGGATCACTGTAGTAAGATGACTTTAACTCTCCAGGGTAAATATCAGTTTCTAAACACGGCGGGAGGAGTCTCTGTGAGGTGAGTGGGCTGGAAGCTGCCAGATCACCATGGTTGAGAATGGGTGTGATGGTGAGAGACGGCGCAAATAGGCACCGCCTCATTGTTCATGATGGTTCTTTAAATAAAGGCACACGGAGAGCTCTTTCCATAGACTGGAGTGAGCGAGAAGTCCATCACAATCTGTGGGGATTTCATTGTTTATCTTTCAGAATTTGAGAGTGCCTTGGTGTCACTCCCTTTTGGACTAGCTACTCCTCAAAGTGCTTTGAAAATATCATCTTATATCTGTCATCTGCCTGTCTATCTACCCACCATCTATCATTCTTTGAAAACTTACAGGAAGCTTATCTATTATGGGTGCATACTTCTGTAATCTTTTACCATAACCTAGCCCAGAGATTTCTAATATTTTCTGTTATCTAGGATTGACTTTGAAAGACTCAACATACAATAATTCTGGTTTACAAAATAAATATGAATGTGATTATTCACTTTTCAAAATGAATCTTTGCTTAGTGGAGAATAAATTTTATCTCCCTTCTTTACAGGAAACTTTCCCAATAGACTAAGATATAAACTGATTCATACATTGTATTGATTCTGGATTTCAAAGTGTACATCCTCATAGAATAGAAAGGGGGCCTGATTTCACTATTGAAATTTTTAAACCTATTGTTTTAGCCAGCTTTTTTTGCTGCTGTGATCAAAAGACCTGATAAGAACAATTAGAGGAAAAGTTTATTTGGGTCTCAGTCCATAGACAGCAGGTCTTCAGAGGTCTCAGTCCATAGACAGCAGGCTCCATTCCTCAAGACTTAAGATGAGGCAGAACATCATGGCAGAAGTGTCCTGGAGGGAAGAGCCTCAAGACATGGTGATCAGGAAGCAGAGACAGACTCTAGTCACCAGATACAGAATACATACCCCAAGGGCACATCCCCAGAGCCCACCTCCTCCAGCCACTCCCCACCTGCCTTCAGTTACCACTCAGTCCCATCAAGGATTGATTCACTAATTGGGTTAAGGTGCTCATAACCCATTCATTTCAGCTCTACACCTTTTTGCATTGTCTCACACATGAGCTTTGGGGGATGCCCCCCATCCAAACCACAGCACCCATTTAGCAAGAAAACATCCCAGCAGGTGCCTTTTCTGCCTTTCTTTCTGCTTTCCCAGTTTTTTTTTATATCAAAATAAGTGTATTTTTCAAGAAAGCATTTATAAAGTCATCTTTGTTTAGTTATATTGAGAAAGGGTGTTTAGTTTCCTGTATAAATGACAAAGAACAATCATTTATTGGTTTATTTTCATATCTACTAAACACATTAGTCCATCATCATTCTTTTCTTTTCTTTATTGACCTTTCATGACTCATCTTTGACTTTAAGGTGATGTTGGGATGACCTTGCTGAAAACAAACATTTTTCAGGTTTGCAAGATGGTTCTTGGGGTCACAGGTCTCCCCCAAATAGGAGCACACTTGTCAAATGGTTCCCTCCTAGAGCCCCAGGGACAGGGAGCTTTGCCTGATCCCCAAGAATAGAAGGAACTAGCTTTAGGATTAGCTTTGCCTTTCTAGAGGCAACGACCAGACTGTCCTTCAGCAAAAGTTCTCTCTAGACCCTCTATGTGGTTGTTCTCTCTGTTATTGTCATCCAGCACCCTGGGTTTCCAAGGATACCACGAAGCTTCCATGGGAATCCAATGGGAGCTTTCTTGGTCTCACAAGTGGCAGAGCTGTCTGTGTCATGTCTGTTTGTCTTTGCTAGCTTCCCCATTCCGTCTGTACTGACGTGTGTCCTCCCGGAACGCGGAAAGGGATTCGACAGGGGGAGCCCATATGCTGCTTTGAGTGCATCCCATGTGCTGACCGATATGTGTCAGAGAAAGCAGGTACCACGGTCACTTTCTCATGGATGTCAAAAAGTGTTACATTAACTGTGCTGGCAAAGAGTTTCCTTGGAAACTTTTATAAGTAGATGTGAACAATTTATAATGAAAATCATTAAAACCCATCAGATCATTGGCTGTTCTGTGTAGAATGAAACAGAACAGAACAATAACACTGGGTTTTGGTTCCGAAGCTGCTACAGTGGGGAAAAGACACATAACTGAGAAGTTAATAAGGAAAATTCAAAACAAAAGATGTGAAATGTGCAATATGAATAATTAAATTCATAAGAAGTCTTTAAACTCGTTTATGAGATAGGTTAAATCAGAAAAAAGATTACTTACAGTTCTACATTCTACTTAGTTTTCTGTAATTTGGAACCATGAGATCTAGAAGTCCATAGGTTTGCTGGGTGTGATGGTGCACACCTGTAATCCCAGAGGCTGAGGCTGAGGCTGGGGCAGGAGGATAGCAAGTTCAAAGCCAGCCTCAGCAAAAGCGAGGTGCTAAGCAATTCAGAAGTGAGGTGCTAAGTGACTCAGTGATATCTTGTTTCTGAATATAATACAAAAAAAGGCTGGGGATGTGGCTCAGTGATTGAGTGCCTGAGTTCAATCCTGGGTATCAAAAAAAAAAAAAAAGACAATAGGCTTAAGGTCGTAGTACTTCAAGTGTGGACTCTGTAATCGTCACTGCATGAACTCCTCATTTCAGCACTAAAAATGCTAGCTTTTAAACTAACCGAGTCCTTGTCACACTCCTCTTGATTGTTTCACCTCAGTAATCAATTTTCCTCTCATGGATTGTTCTTAGCTCATAAGGATACATATCTCCTTTCTCAATAGACCATTGGAGAAAAAAGAAAGGGACCTGATACCTGACGAGACCAATGGGACAGGCTGACATTGAGAAGGGGGACTAAATTTTTAAAATTAAAACTCACTCCCCGTCTGTGATAACGGCATGCTCTGAAGCCGTGTTATCACGACTTCTTTTGAGAGGTCATGAACATTCCACAGAAGGGATTTTCAGTGCATCCTTGCTGCAGGCCCATGGCTGCTCTGGGCTCCTCCCAGAGATGGGAACACTGGCCTTCCCTGCAGTCCACCTCTGTCCTTTGCTCCGTAGGTCAACGGGAGTGTGAGCCGTGCAGTGAAGACTACTGGTCCAACGTGCAGAAGAGCCAGTGTGTGCTCAAGGAGGTGGAGTTCCTCGCCTACAATGACGCCCTGGGCCTCACCCTTGCCGTCCTCGCCGTCTTTGGGGCCCTGGTGGCCTTGGCGGTCATGGTGGTGTATGTGGTGCACAGGCGCACGCCCCTGGTCCAGGCCAATGGCCGGGAGCTGAGCCTCCTCACACAGGCTTCCCTGGCCACCACGGCGCTGTCGTCCATGCTCTTCATTGGCAAGCCGTGTACCTGGTCCTGCATGGCCCGCCAGGTCACGCTGGCCCTGGGCTTTTCCCTTTGCCTGTCTTGCACTCTTGGAAAGACTCTTTCTCTCTTTTTTGCCTACAGAATCTCCAGATCCAAAACCCGACTCATATCCATGCACCCCATTTGTCCAAAGATCATTGTGTTGCTCTCTGTTCTGGTGGAGATCGGCATATGCACAACCTACTTGGTATTTGAACCCCCAAAGGTTTACAAGAACATGGAATCCCAAAACATAAAGATCATTCTGGAATGTGATGAAGGCTCTCTGGAATTTCTGTGCTTCACATTTGGGGTCGATGTCTTCCTGGCCTTGCTGTGCTTTCTTACAGCCTTTGTGGCTCGTCGGTTGCCAGATAATTATTATGAGGGGAAGTGCATCACCTTCGGGATGCTGGTCTTTTTTATTGTCTGGATTTCTTTTGTCCCTGCTTACTTGAGCACCAAAGGCAAGTTCAAGGTGGCTGTGGAGATATTTGCCATTTTGGCATCTAGCTATGGCTTGTTGGGTTGCATGTTTGCTCCCAAGTGCTTCATTATTCTGCTGAGGCCAGAGAGGAACACGGATGAGGTCGTAGGAGGGAGAGTCCCCACTGTAGATAGGAGCATCCAGCTGACCTCAGCTTCAGTGAGCAGTAAGCTGAACAACACCACAGTGTCCACTGTTCTGGACCACTAGGGCTGAAGCTCCGTGTACCCCTCAGGACGACCATGGTGACGTTGCCTTTCGGGTGGCCCCTGCAGCAGCTGCCTGACAGCTCTGGATAGTGCTGTGGATTTGGGCTCTGGTGGTGTATCTTAGCAAGGTGTGTGGAGTCTCATTCTGTAAGACACTAGCGAGGATTAGGATGCCCTTTGTTATTGAAATTGTAACTATTTCATTCAGATCTTTCATAATACTTAGGTTTAGGAGTGCATAGGAGAGGAGCTGAGAGGCACAAATGATAGAGAAAAACATTGGTTCTGGAATACATCTTTGTTCTTAAACCATGAGTATCTGATCTAGACTTCTACATTAAACAAAGTCATCGGGTGAGGATCCAGAGAGACTTCTCCATATCCTGCTACTGTCTTTCCAGAACAGACAGCTTTTCTCTGACTGAGCTTAAGAATGGCAGCTTATAGGTGCTCCTTTGGAGCAGGGGGTTTGGATTATTCATGTTTCAAAGGACTCTGGCATAGAGAGAATATTGAAGGATTTGATGTCGACAAAACTTGTCCTTCTTGAAACGATAATGGGAATAGACAAGTTTCTCCCAGAGGGCAGGCGAGGCACCTGCTCAGACGCTCCTGGAGGAGAGCAAGTGGTGGAGTATGAGTTTCAAAGTAGCCCTCTGCTCGAAACACGAAGGCCAAGGGGATTAGGGTTCAGCACAGCACTTAAGGAGATGAGAGAGTGAGGACCTGGACAGCATAAAGGAGAAGAGAAAGAAGCAAATCTTTACCTAGAGCAGGTATTAGAACTTGAGGTGTTTTTTTTTTTTTTTTTTTTTGATAAATTGAATGACAGATATTTGCCCTCTGATTATGCAAGTTAACTGGAATTTAATCCCAATGTTAAAATGTTATAAAATGTTTTCAATCTTTGAGATATGGATTCTGAAAATGACCCATATGCCTTTGGAAGTATATAAAATTGAACGTGAGGGAATTCAGAATCTGTAGAAATGCTGAGAAGCCAAACGTGCATATGTGTATGTGACTCTAGGAATCTAACAGGATCAGAAAGAGCTCTCTCTTCAGGAGGACCTAGGGCTTGTGGATCTCAACGAAACTGGGCAGACTCGTGCAGGCTTGGGGGGCCAAAGTAGAACCCCAGTGACAGGCTTAGCAGGACAATTCTGTCAGGGACCTATTACTGATTTTTAAAGAAAGATCATTGCAGACCAAACCAAGGGGATGCACTTCCTAGGATTTTAGCAGAAAACATATTGAGGTTCAGCAAACTCAAAGTGATCACATTTGTTGGTGGTCCAGTGGCATCCCAGGGTTTCCTGGGCCAGCGTCCACTCACCCACCTGCCTCCCAGCTGTTGGACAGTGCTTCACCCCAAAGCCCTCAGAGTCATGAGAAGAATCCACATCAGAATCAAGAGCAGGGGTGTGGCTTTCTTTGCTGTCCATCCATCCATCCATCCATCCACCCATTCATTTCAGAAAAGAGAGATTTTTAAAAGTATAGAGCAATAGAAAGATGAATGTCTGTGAGCCCATGTCTTTTTCAGTAATGTACTCAGTGTCAGCAATCTCAACGACCCATCTTGACAGTTAAAAAACAGGCCGGAAGATGGCTTATGTTTAGTCACTCTGTCTATTTTATGTTCAAAATGCTTCAGTCTTGATGTAATCCATTTCTTCTCTGAGAAGTTGATTATTGAACATATGGTCTCTAATAAGACAACTCCAGAGGTCCATCTGGGTGACAATGAATACTCCATCATCTCCTTTCATACCATAGTGCTCAGTTACACTGTCTTGTCAGGCTGTGTTCTGTGCAAATTTTTTTTTTTTTTCTGATCAGCAGGAGGTTTGGGAAATAAGAGAAGATAAATATTATAAGAAACAAAGCATCAATTGAACTTGCATGTTTAATGGTAACGTGTACTCATTCAACTTTGCAACTTTAAGGTATGACTGTTTATCTAAAATAGTGTGAAGCAATCACTAGTTGATTTGGTACACAATAAATTGTTAGAGAAACTGGTCTATGGCACTTGAAATAAATAAAATATGATTGTCAAAAATGATAGTCTGATTGTTGTATTTATTCCTTCTAATTACTTATCAAGTATTAAATATTTCTCTTAACACTGGAAGATATTTTCTCTTAGGATGAATGTGTCATTTCAAAATTATTTCTGTGTGTGTGTGTGGAAATGCCTGAAATCTCTGTTCACACGCTGCTTTGTCAAAGAATCCCATCTAGAATGGTGACATTCCCTGCTGTGGTGAGCACTTGCTGGTAACTCCTGCTGGGCCTTGGGGAGCAGCTTAGAATTAATTTCAGCATGCTGTATCAAAATTATGTGGGTACTGTCTTGAGCAGTAGCGTAAAGATTATTTGTTTGAAAAAAACAAAAACAAAAAAAATAGCAAAACAACACTTTACCCAGGGCTGACCTACACATCTGTAGGACTGAGCTCTTTGGATAAAAGAGATGTTTATGCTATGGACTGCTCAAACCACACCATAAGATTAATTCCTTGCATTAAGGCAAAGAAAATTCCTCATAGGAAGCGAATATATTATTAAAAAGGAGTGAAGTATTCCAACGGCCAGATTAATCTTCTTAAAACAGAGCTCTGACCTCATCTCTTCCTGCTCGTAAGCTCCCAGTGGCTCTCTGCTGCCTTAGCCTGTCAGGAAGACCCTCCAAACTGTTTTCACCTTCTATTTTCAAGAGTTGCCACTGGTTACTTCCCTGCCCATGTCCTTAACCCAACTCAGTTGCACTTCTCCAGTTTCTGGAACCCATTTCTTATTTTCTGAATCCCAGTTGTTCATCTATTCCCTTTTCCCTTTAATAGTACTCCATCTCTCCATCCATCCATCTATCTGTCCATCCATCCTCGAGGGCTTGATATGCACTGGACTCAGTGTTAGATGAAGAAGGTATATAGAGACAAAGCATTGTCCCCAACTCCAGGTGTGTACTGTCTTTTGGGGGGACAGGTAATAAAACAAAAATCATTCTAGGACACCATAAAGCTGTGGTTGTGCTAGCACGGATGACAGGCAAGGTGAGTAAGGTCAAGGAAGGCTTCCCGGGCAAGGGGACATGGGAGCAAGTTCCTGAAGGACAAGAAGGAACTAATCACATGAAAGAAAGTCACACTCTAAGAGAGTGGGGGCCCAGCTAGAGCATGAGGGGCTTCAGCTGGGGAAGGGGACAGAGTGGGACTGAGGAGAAGGTGAGTTGCAATGGCAGCAGTAAGTTCTGAGGAGGATTTGCCCTGCATTCATCTGACTATTTACCTGCGGTGTTTTCTTTTCCATTTGTTTGCTCTGTGGGTGTGCATTCGTGTGGTGTTGGGGATCCGGTGGAGGGCTTCGTGCATGCTGAACACATGCTCTATCGTGAGCCACACCCTCACCCTAGTTTTGCATTTTTGAAGAAGAATGAAGTACTTTTGTCCCTACCCCACCCCATCCCACGTTTCCTTTGAGCTGCCATTGAAGTCGATAGCGGTTGTTTGGAACATTTATAGAGGGAGTAAGTACTTATCATCTCAAGGTGGAATTAGTAACAGTGTATGTAAAAATCTTTGTGAGACCCACCTATTTACATTTTTAGAGGTGTTTTTGTTTTGTTTTGTTTTTACTTTCCCTGATGTTTTTGGAAAACCAATTTGAATAAAAAAGACATAAGGTGAAAATCTGATCAGACTGGACATGTCCACATAGGTTGACTGCGGGAACCACCACCCCCAAGTCCTAGAGCTTCACAGATCAGCTGTCCACATACCCTGGACTCAGGTGGCTGCTCCTGGCCAGCTGAGCCCCTGCAGATGCTGAAGCATCCTCCACTTGCCTGTTCTCTGCCTTCCCCATCGGCCCTGGCCTCTAAGTCTTGCGCGCTGTGGACTCCTCACCTATGGCTTCTGCTGGGTTTTGCCAGTGGGAGGCTCCAATGGGAGGCCAGAGGCGAGAAGAGGAGCCAGGGCCTTTGCTGTTCCACAGCTCACTTATCTCTCCTTGTTCGTCTATTCATCAACTACTCTGTGCTACTGAAAGAGAGCTTTTGTCTTTGGTGTTCACCTAGCCAGCTGAGCACATGAGAGAATCAAGTCAAATGAGCTAGCTGGGCACAGTGGTGCATGCCTGCGATCCCAGCGGCTCAGAGGATGGTGAGTTCAAAGCCAGCCTCGGCAATAGCAAGGTGCTAAGCAGCTCAGTGAGACCCTGTCTCTAAATAAAATACAAACTAAGGCTGGGGATGTGGCTCAGTGGCTGAGTGCCCCTGAGTTCATTCCCCTGTGTTGCCATCTATCCTTGCTGGCACATTAATGCTGGATTCACAAAATCTGACTATTCCATAACTCAATAAAATGACAAAGAAAGCACACAATCACACAGAATTACCTTTTCAATAATCCGGAGATGGCTCTGCAACCTTAAGGGTCCTTGGAAAGAGAGCGAGCCACTAGAATTCTTTATTCTTATGTAGGGAACACATAAGGGGAGGTTCCATGGAACATTTCTATCCCAAAAAGGGCAAAGGAGTAGGATTACAAAGGAATAGGTGAGTGTAGCTCAACCCCTCTGGGTTCTGCCTACTCCTAGGCCCCCCATGTCATCCGAGCAAGGGAAAAGCCTGAGTCATAGCACTACTGTGCCAGATTACGGTGATCTTTCAGATCCCAGTGGTGCATCAGGACTTAAAGGTGCAGATTTTGGAGTGGCTCCCTCCACCCCTGTACCCCTTCACCAAAAAAATAAAATTGACCTAAAATAGAGGTGTCCAAAGAAAGTTTCAAATGACATCCCCAAAAAATAAGCACAAGGAAGGGCTGGGGTTGTGGCTCAATGGCAGAGCGCTTGCCTCACACATATGAGGTACTGGGTTCAATCCTCAGCACCACACACAAATCAATAAATAACGGTATTGTGTCCATCTACAACTAAAAAATTATTTAAAAAAGAATAAGCACAAGGAGCCTTGTAAGAAGACTTTTGCAA